AATTGCAAAGCCTTCATCTCAGGCGAAGTTGCTAATGATGGAAAACTAAGTGTCTCAGGAAAGAACAAATCCCACTTGTGTTCTATAATGACAGTCTCAATGACCTTAGTGATTTTGTTTTAAGAAGCCACTTTCCACACTCTTCAATTTCTTCCCTTAAGAAAGCAATGGTCCTAAATAACTCAACTTCTGCCCATTATTTAAAGAAGCAAAGCATGGCATTCTAATTCTTTACTAATCATATAAAATGATTTTATAAAACAAAAACAAAAACATGATCATGAGTTATTCAGGTTTCATAGAAAGAACAATAAAAATATAAATATAATTGAAACCAGCTCAATTGTTCTAAGAGATGTATTTTTGTTTTCCTGCAGAACAGATTCACATAAACATGAATGTAATAGTAATATATCATACATAATTCTGCATTTTAACAGAAACTATTTTGTATAAAAGCATTTTATAGAAAAGAACATGAGACTTTGTCAAGCATTTTCCAAATGTAACTCATTTAATCATCACAACGTTCTGTGAATGAGGCCCTCTTATCATTATCTCTTTACAGATGGGGAATCTAAGGCACAGCAAGGTTGAGTAATTGACTCCAAGCTACACAGCTACAAAGTGGAGTGGCAGTGATCCAATCCACCAATGCAGTAYAGATCCATCACAGTCATAACATAGCTATGCTGATTTTCAGATATTTATTTATCTCTCTGTTTAGGTTATTTTATATTCTTTAATACTGATCTAGTTTCACATGACAAACATTTCCCAGGATTTGACAGTCTAGTTCTTATGATTACCAATTTAATAGCTATGTAACAGTTGTATATGGTCCATAAGCTAGAATTTGAATGTTGCCTATCTATTTTTCTAGAGTGGAGAATAGAAGAGTGTTCAGACTGGTGGCATGTATACACAATTTTTAAAAATATGTTGAATAAAATCTTTGGTACAATGTTCTCAGTGGAATAATCAGTATCAATRACTATGCCCTTTATTGCTCTTTCTGAACCAACTTTGCAAAAAGACTTCCAATGTAGCATGGTAATGGTGAAGACGTCATGCACCAGTTTCACACTGAGCAGCACTGGATGGCCCCAMGTGTTTGCTTTTTGAGTGGATATAAATGATCACTGTATATTGCTTTAATTTTCATATTTCCGATGATTGCCTAACTTGCCCTAAGGATACCTCTTCTCTTGTAGCCCTCTCAAGTTTTTGTTTTWCTATTGTGTTGTTGTTTTCGTCCACACCGTTCTACCCACTTCTTTCATAGTGAGTGGGTGGGAGTCTTGCATGTTCCTTTCCCAATACTGCCCCAGTCCTATCTAAAATCTCTAATTTAGAATCTCACATCAACCAACTTTAAAACCAGCTTAACCTTCATTTCTACCATAGTYTACAGACCCTCAATTTATCATTCTAGTTATTTTTCCACAAATACTTTCTGGATTAGTCACTTTTGTCAACTTTTTCCTTGCTTCATTTCTGGAGGATTGCAGAAAACCCTGAGATCATTGTTCCAGTACCGGGTTTCATGAGGTCCTTTAACTCTCTGAACACCTGTATCTTCTTCCACATCTCAGAGACTTATTCCATGATCATCATTAATAACTATCAACTATTTTCCTGAAATGTAATTTTTGTCTCTTCCTAATTGTCTCTATGTGTAATTACATCAAGGTCCACTTTTCTGGAAGGACATGCCCTAAATAGGAGTCAGTACCCCCATTAAGATGATTATTTGTCCCAAAACATGACCATGCCAATAGTACACTTCTGATCATGACTGCTTACTTTTTAGTGCCTCTCACATGATGTGCTTGGTGAAGGTTATCATCAGTCAGAGTCACTACTGCTAACCACAGGTTCCAAAGGCTGAGGCCAAAACAAGGTGACTGGAGGATTTTTGTAAGTGTATAATGGTCACATGATCACCAAGGCTTCTTCACATGACCTTATCAGCAAAAGATCTCCAGCTCTCCAGTCCCCACAGTCAGCTTCAGCATGACTGAAGGATCGATTTCATGAATGATTTTCCCAATTTGTTCCACAGTCTCCCCTGCCCTTTCTTCTCTCCTCCCCTTACTTCTTCTTTCTGTCTTTCATAGTTACGGGTACCTATTATGTTTTAAGACCAATAATTTCCAAACTACTTTTTAAAACCTGACTGCTAGGAATACAAATATCTTGGAATGGAAAACCCAATACTTACATATTGAAGACATAGGTATTGATGATGCTTACATAGCAAAATATTTACAAAACGTGAATGAGGGAACCAAAAATGATGCATGTTCTAGTAATTTTTTTCTACTACTCCAAATAAGCCGTGTGTCTATACCCTGCACACATCCCACTCTGGAAAGAGGTATTCTAGATTACACAGGCCCTGTCTTCGTTATTTTAAAACATCTCGCCAGAGAGACAGAAAACGAAATGAGCACTTACCAAAAACTATGGATAGGAGTTAGGACTTAAGCTGAGGGGCCCCACAGTAGTTTGTACAGATTATTTTGTACAGATTAGCTTCTCCCGCACACTGGATAACTTACTTATGGAGACTCTGGCCTGCTTTTGGTTAAATCACTTTTCATACCACACAATTATACAAGGATAGTTTTCCACATGGACAGTCTCCTCTATGTCCTCTCCAATGATATCCAGTGATCAGAGACGTCTGAATGGTTGAGCAGAAATCTGCCTAGGGAAGGGCCCTTTCATTTGGACCACTGCAGCTATCAAACACATAATAGAATGTACTAGGGTTCCCTGATGTTGCTTGCCTGTGAAGATTCATGCCTCTGGTTGGAATTTCATCAATGGTATCAGCTGCCTGTCTTGGGACCTCAATTTTCTCTGGTTGGTCCCATTGACATTTTTACCCAAAAGAGTTTGGAAGTGGATTGAAGTAATGGGAATCATATTGTAATGCTTCTAACATACCAGAGGCTTCCCACAGCCAGGAATGACTGTCATGGTCCAGTTTTACTCCTACATGTTCTCCAAGATACTGTTTTCAGTTGTTCTCCCTAATTTACCCCTGCCCATTCCCCTTCCATAGATTATCCTTTGGTGATCTCACTCCCTTGGCCATCTGTAACCCTAAGCTTTCTTGCAGAGTCCTCTTTGACATTTCCTACACAAATGCTATGCCAGGTCCTCTAGCTCAGCATGTCCAGTACGGAATTTATCATCTTCCCTCCAAAACTTGTGATTGCCATTTCTGGACTTCTAACCTCTATGAGCACCAAATCCTCTTCTCCAGTCAGGAACACTCAAAATGCAAGCTTCACTTTGGTCCGCCTTCCCTTTCATCTTCATAGAGAGTAACTGATTCTATAGTGACTCCTTTCCACTACCCTAATGATAATTAGAAAACAGGATGACTCTATCCTTATTTTTACCCTTGACCATGGTTTCAAAACTTCCTTTTTTTTTTCTTTTTCTGTCTTCACTTTCTCTCCTTGTAATCCAATTTCACCCATTTTTGCTGAAATATCTTTTCTTAAAAGCATAAAACAATCATAGTATACCTACTCAAAAACTATTAATATCAAAGGGTCCATGTTATATGCAGAAATAAGTTTGAAACATACAGAATAACATTTTTAAAGCCTTCAAAAGCTTCATCCCATCCTTCTCTCTACCAAATTCTTTAACAGGTCTGATTTTTCCATTCCAGCTAAATGGGTCTACTCAACTATTTTATATAGTATAAAACTATATAACTATATTCTGAAACTCTTTCTCCTAAGCATCATCTTTTCCCATGCCCATGCATTCTGCCTTGATTTTATAAATTTCATTCCCCAGAAAGGAATCTCCTTTAGCACATTGTTAAAACTGCATTTACCCCCAAACAGGGCTATGCCAATAGTACATTTATGATCATGACACCATTCTATAGATACTTCTGTTACAGGTACTTCTGTGACACTCTGACATTAACTAGGGCAATGCACGTTTCTTAATAGGAATATTAAGAATAGTTTCTTGATTTATTTTCAACAAGAAATAGAACATTTGGGTGACAGAAACCATGTCTTATCATTGCTTTATAGTAACTACTGTATTTTTTAGCTTAAAGGAGACATGGAATTCTATTTTTTTTAAACTGCTAAATTGACTCTGGCTCCCATTACCCAAATATATATGCACATATGAGTGGGTTTTTTTTTACTTAAAATGTGTGCATATAATATTTGCATAAGAAATGGGGACAGTTTTTAAAATGATCTTGGCTCTTCCACACTTCTTGATCTCAGTATTACAGTGAAGACTGGATTAAGAACAACAAACAACATATGTTATAAGAAGCTTTCCAATTTTCCAGTAAGAACTGCAGTCATGCAAGAGAGACCATATAGATTTCACAAATAAAAATGTAACACAACCTTTAAAAGTATATGGGATTCTCAGACACTGAGAAACATAAGCCACAGACATCGTCAAAAGACTTCAGATATGTGTTCAGGGAAGAAAAATAAAAGCCTGACTAAATGAAATACCAACTCTGAAATCCTGTGAATTATTTATAGCCAAAGTTTAGATACAGTGGGCCCATCAATAAATTTATTCCTTGTCAACAAATGTTGCTAAAGCTTTAAAGAACAGAGAAATTAAAACATGCTTTGCAAGAGAAAGTTTCCCCCAGTGCTCCTCATTTTTATATAGGAAATCAATTTGCATCCCTGATAATATCATTCAAATCAGACAACCCAAAGTTGTTAGGAGGTAATTTAGTTTTATGCTGAAGCAATTTGATACTTGTTCTGATTTGTGATTTTCATTTTGTTTGTTAATGAAAAAAATTAATGAGCGATGTTACCAGAAATACAACTCATCAAAGCACTGGCATTATTAAAGAGGGTTGCCATATACTGTACACTGCCATCATTGTGCAGCTGGGGCCTGGACCGCCGTGATGCAGGAACCATCAATTGAACAGCATAGGCAGGAGCTCAGAGTATGGATGCCCTTATACCTACCTTTGCATTGATTTGTGTTTTTGTCAAGAATTGCCTTTGTGGATACAATTTTTCCATACCTGAAACAGAGAAAGAAAAAGCCCTGTTATTGTAACCCAAGGAACAGACTTAAAATAGCCTAATGAACTTCAGGGCATAATTGAGCATGAATATACCACGGAAAACAAGTTCTGCACTCCCATTTCACACCTGGATGATCTCCTTTCTCAAGATCTTCTTTATTACTCTGCAGTGCATTTCCCCTACCTGAGCMCTGGGTTGTGTCTTCATAGATAAACCTATTGAACTATTGTTGGTGGCTGAAAGGAAATGCATGTGATTGTGATCAAGGTAAATTGTCATCTATGGCCTCAAGGAGAACAGTATAAGCCTCAGGGCCAGGTTGAATGGGGTTCATCTCCCATTCTGACTCAAACCTACTGCTGTGACTTCGAAGAGTTTAACCCATCTTCCTTAGATTTCAGGTTTTTTTCTTCTGAAAAAATGAGAAACTACATATATGAAATCCAGTTCAATCAACTTCACATCTTCAGAAATCCAGGTGTTAGGTTCCATAGGCAGTTAGTGTAGTGGTTCATAAAATATACCATGGTGCTAAACTGCCACAGCTGGAATCCCAGTTCAGCCTGGAGGTGTTTGGCCACCTCAGGTACTCTTTACATCATTTCATCATCTAGTGACRTAGACACAATTATTCAAATAATGGTGTGGATTCTTATTTATTTGCAATGATACAAATTTATTTGTAAACATATAAGATGAGGTGATAGTATCTTCCCTCTAGAGCTGATGTGAGGACTAAATGGGACAAACCTGAAGAACTGAGGACAGTGGCTGACAGTAAGCTCATATTTAACCTTAGCTCTTCCGCCCATTATGATCACCCTCTCATTACTGTAGAATACCAGTATTTGGCATTCTCTGTGGTAGATGAGACATAAAAGAGGATAAAGATTCTGTTTCAAACAGCCACTAAATCACTACTATTTAGACTGTCAAAATCTTCTGGTAAGAAATTGGGCACAGATCTTTTATTTGCTAAAAGATGAGGTTTACAATTTACACCATTATATTTAGTGTAAAGGGTTTCATTAGCTATGTTCTCAAGCAATTAGTCACACAAATACTCACAAGTTTAAACCTTTTTTTTGTTTATTTTGTATTACCTCCATGCCTAGTGACTTATATGCTCATTCCCTTCCAAACCCTCTACACCTGACCTTTCTCACTTCACAGAAAACACATACATGCCTCTTTTGCAAACTCTGATTTCATACAAGAGTTTCTCTTTGGGCAAAGTAACCAGTTAAATAATATCATATTTGAACAGTTCCTTCAGTAGACAATGATTCACAGATCGTATCAAGGAACTAGATGTAATATTTACTAGTTTTGGACAATTCAGGTGAAGAAACATTTGCAAAATATAGAAAGAGAATAGAAAAGTAAAAAAAAAAAAGATGATGATGATGATGGTGAAAAGGATATTTGCTGAAACTATTTTCCACAAAAGGTTCTGCTAATACAGTATGCGAATGATTTAAAAAAAAAAACAGAAAAAGAATTTAAAATATGTATAACTAACGCATAATGTCAGGCAGAGAAAGCCTTAAGACAAAAATCCTTCTTAATTGGTTTCTAAAGCTTCTCCTGAAATTTTTATAGAAGTACCTTCAAAATTAAAATTTAGCTCTAGCTTTTAAAGATAAAATTGAAAATTACTGTTTTTTATACAGAATTACATCTCACAAGGGGACTCTGGACTGAAGGTATGCATATTGTATCACTACCTCCATATCACAAGGATATTTTCTTCTCCATTCAATGTAGATATGGAAAATGCTGCTATCATTATTTTACAACAACTTAAAAAAATCAAGTGCATTCTTGTAGAAAGCACTTGTATTTTATATTTTGGTAAGCAATTTAATAAAAAAGAAGAAAAAGAACTTACTTTATTTCCCAGAAACTATTACAATATTACCTTAAATGGAAAAATCACACACGCAGACACAAAAACACTCACCATAGTAGTAAACTGTTTCCTGACTTCCCTATTTCTCATTGCACTCTAGGTGAGACTTTCCAACACTGTGAAGTAATAAAACAATGGAACCCAACTCTGAAAACTTGACACAACCTCTACTCTCACTGGAGTTATAGGAATTTCAGCCGTTGGCTTTGTTACAACATTCTGCATTAACCATTATTTTGCAGAGCTAGGATACGCTTTGAACAACAAGAGAAGGTACTTAATGGGCCACTGGCTACAGTTCATGTCTGAACTCTCACAAGGGCAAACAGGTACTTTCTGCATGAGTGGGGCTGTATTCTTCATGACCTGCCAAGTCAACAACTGTAATAGGTAAATAAAGTTTAAGCCACTTTTTAAAAAGACACAAGCACAGAAGCCACCAAGCTAATATTAAACTTGTGAAGAGCTATATTAAATTTATTTTCCTAGTGTTTTGTCCAAGTGTACAAAGAGACTGGAATATAAAAACKACTAGACACACTAAAAGTATATTTTTGCACACTGTGAAGGAAAAAATAAGATCTTTGAGGTTAAAAAAAAAGAAAAGAAAGAGGTAATTTTAAACCTATATTTACCTCCTTCACTCTTCCCCTTTCCAGGTTTTAGATCAAGACTTAAGTCTTCATAAGGTTTGTCTCCAACTGTGCCACCCACGAGTGGAAAGCAAAAGTCTGATATTAGAGGGGAAAAAATGTGACCAAATGACTGGAGGATGCCTGGAAATGGACACCTAAGCAGTGGTCCCAGGTGCCTCCTGGATCCAGAAGCTTTCAGACAAATCCAATTCATATCTCTATCTTTTCGTTTCCTACAGCAAGAAGAGATAAAATACTATCCATGGTCTACTTCCTTGGAGGTTTGAACTTCTTGGGGGAAAGAAATAAATGAAGTGACCACATTTGATATAGTAATTCTTTCCATGTGGGCCTTCTCCAGGCAATGTGAGAAGCCCTGATATAGCACTGCTAACACCTTCCGATATTAAAAAAAATATATGTAACTCCATATTGCATCTACATATTCACCAACTACCCAGAATGCTCCTGTGGTCACCAAATAAAGCCAGATGTCAAAGAGCATTTTCCTTACATTCTAAGAGTATTTCCTTAAACAGTAGCTATTCTACAATAAGTATAAATCTTATGTTTGAGCTTTCATAACTGAATTGTATAAACTCATATGTTGTCCATCATCTCTAAAATATTTTTAGCCTCGCTTGTTAATACAGATTTTACATGTGATTTTTTTTTTTAAATAGCCATTTCTTTCCTGGCATTTATTCTTAGTGTTAAGTGATAGCTGAGTCAAACTATATTTGTTGATACACTTGATTATTCCACATACAAGCCTAATTTAAACTAATGGCATATTTTATTTCCAAAGTTGAAGAGAAAATAAGAGCTATTATGGGTCTACTCTTCATGAATTATGAAGACATCAAATTGTTGGGAGCGTTCTACAAAGAATTTATTTTTAAATCCTTTGCTGAATCACCCACTGTGTATATTAATTCAAAAAATGCAGGCAGAGACTGAAAATAGAGTCTCCGCAGTCAATTAACTCTCAGCGAACTCATTTTTCACATGCCTTCTATATTGATACCAGACTAGAAAAAGGTATCACATTTATTTAATGGATGAAACATTATCCTTTTAGCAAATGTGGTTGTTTGCCTACTTTTAGATGGCTCATTCATTCTTTGGCATTTGGAGATGCTAATGGAGCAAATCTGTAGCTCTGGGGTCCCTGTTGGAATGCAGGAGGGCTGTCCTTGATGGACTACATTGGTTTCATCTACAAGCTCACAACCATTAATATTCTGAAGGATTAACCAGTTCAAACTACAAGTGAGTGGACAAGGTATGTGTATTTGTTATGGGATGAAATTAATAGGTGGAAATATTCACACTCAGTTCCTCAGAATGTGACTATACCAGAGGCAWCATCTTTAAAGAGGTAATTAAGGTAAAATGAGGTTTTCTGAGGAATCTCCATACTGCTTTTCAGAAAGGTTGCACCMATTTGCAGTCCCACCAGCAATGTATGAGAGTGGCTTTCTTCCTACATCCTAGCCAACATTTATTGTTACTTAAATTCTTGATAATTGCCCTTCTGACTGGAGTGAGATGAAATCTCAGTGCAGTTTTAATTTGCACTTCTCTAATGGCATTTGCAGGTAAATGGTTGGAACTGGAGACTATCATGCTAAATGAAACAAGCCAATCCCCAAAACCCAAAGGCCAAATGTTCTCTCTGATATTTGAATRCTGACTCACAATAGGCTGGGGACACACGTGGTCCACTGGACTGGACAGGGCAGAGTGGGGGGAAGGGAAGGGAGATGGGAATGGGAGACAATAGAATGAATCATGAATCAATGAATCAGACATAATTTTCCTATGTTTATATATGAAAACATGACCAGTGTAACTTCACATGATATACAACCACAAGAATAAGTTATAGCCCATGTATATGTCAAAATACATTCTACTGGGCTGGGGCTGTAGCTCAGTAGTAGAGCGCTTGCCTCGCACGTGTGAGGCACTGGGTTCCATCCTCAGCACCACATAAAAATAAATAAAGATATTGTGTTCATCGTCAACTAAAAAAAAAAAAGAAAAATTAAAAAAATATATTCTACTGTCATGTATAAGTTTAAAAAAAAGAAACTCTAAACCAWGTATCTACACCAAATAAATTTCACAAATATATTCTACAAAATGTCTCCAGCTAACATACATGTCTGTGCAAAGCACCCTCCAAAGAACTTAAAAGAAGAGCCTATAGAAGTGAGATTTCTAGAAAAGTTCTTTTGAAAATCATAAGTGCTCTTCATATTTCTTAAAGAAAAGTAATTCTAAAAAAAAAAGTTTTCTTTTTTCAGATCAGTGTGTTACTATTTAGTAAATTATATTTTCATTCTACAAACAGGTTCAATGGGATCCAAGGGGCTGTACTGCTGTATGACCTACTCTAAAAAATAGTGGTGTTCAAGTTTTCATGTGCACAAGAATGGCTAGG